GGGGGGCTGGGAGCCAGGACTCCTGGGTTCTCTCCCCAGCTCTGGGAAGGGAGTGGGGTTTAGTGGTTAGAGCAAGCGGGGGCTGAGAGCCAGGACTCCTGGGTTCTCTCCCCAGCTCTGGGAGGGGAGTGGGGACTGGTGGGTTAGAGCAGGGGGGCTGGGAGCCCGGACTCCTGGCTTCTCTCCCTGGCACTGGGAGGGGAGTGGGCGCTAGTGGTGAAAGTGGGGGGTGGCTGGGCGTACTCCTGAGGACTTTCTGCGCCAAAAAATTCACATAATATTTTAAAGTTTTGCAAAATTCTGGAAATCTTTTGTCAAATAAATGTGGAGGCTCCAGCCTGACCATGGGGAGCACAGGCCCCTAGCTGCACCGGGGGGTGGGGTGGGAGATCCCCCTGCAGCCCCATGGGGCACACAGACTCCGTGGTGAGGCTGCACCCACCCCGACACAGCACAAGGACCGAACCTGCCCCAGAAACACCCCAGGGTCGTCGTCCCCCCCCGCCAGGTGTACCAGGTGTGGGCAGGCAGGCCCAGCAAGGCAGGATCCAGGTGTGGGGGGATCCAGGTGTGAGGTGAGATTCTGTGGGGGGCCGTGTGAGTGCGGGCAGCTCAGTGGGGGATGTGCGTGCAGGGGGATCTGGATGCACACGGGCTAGTTGGGGGATTCTGGGTGCAACGGTAACAGGACTCTGCAGGGGGTCCAGGTGAAGGTGGTGGTGGTGGGGGGGGTGGTTTGCAGATCTTCCTGCAGCTGGGGGAGAAATCTGGGGGGGGGGGAAGAGGAAGTCCCATCCCCCCAGCCCAGCTGGGACTAGCAGCTGATCCCGGCGCAGGGTAAGAGCCACCAGCCAGGTGTTGCCAAGTCCCGCTCCTGTCCCACGGTGATTTACCTCTGCTGGCTGCCCCGGGCACCCAAAACACACCGCTGGGGGGTCGCATGACCGCTCTTGTGGCTTCCCTTTGCTCCCCCGGCAGAGTGTCACTTTTCTGCGGGGAAGCAAAGAAATCTGCGGGGGACGTGAATTCTGCGCTGGTGCAGGATTCCCCCAGGAGTAGCTGGGAGCCAGGACTCCTGGGTTCTCTCCTTAGCTCTGGGAGGGGCGTGGGGGCTGGGTGGCGCGATGACCCCCCCGACATCACAAAGCTCTGACCCCACCACCATCCCCGTAGGTGGCGCGCGCCGGGCGGTTCGGCACCAAGGGCCTGGCCATCACCTTTGTGTCGGATGAGAACGACGCCAAGATCCTGAACGACGTGCAGGATCGCTTCGAGGTGAACATCAGCGAACTGCCCGACGAGATCGACATCTCCTCCTACAGTGAGTGCCCGGGGGGCAGATCCCTGGGGAGGAGACCAGTGGGGGAAGCCCAGGAAGGGATCTAGGGCTGGGGGTGCAAAGACCGAGGGGCTCTTCCTGGGATTCCCCTGTGGGGCCCTGCCCCTGGCAGAGCTGAGGGAGGAGCAGGACGGGGCATGGGGGGCCCGTCCCCTGTTGGAGCCGAGGGGGAAGTAGGATGGGGCGTGGGGGGGCTGGACCCGAGGGGGGGGGGGTCCCCGGGGCCGCAGCCGTTAACCTCCCTCTCCTCTCCCTCCCGCAGTCGAACAGACCCGATAAGGGGCGTCCCCGACACTCCTCGTCCCGTGTCGTCGTCCTTCTTTTGGTGGTTTTAACCCCTCCCCCCCACACCCCGTTTCATTTCCACGCGACCCCGAGAGCCGACGAGGAGGATGGAGAAGACGGCCCAGGCCCTGCCCCCGCCCTGGGACCGCAGCCCTGCCAGATTTTGGGGGGGCGGGACGGGGGCGGGAGAACCATTGGAAGAGTGGACTCGAGCAGTGGGGGGGCAACAGGACAGCAGGGTTCACCCCGTCCTGCCCTGCTGTGGGAGGAGGATCCCACTTCACCCACCAGCTGTGGGACGCATCCCACAACTGCCACCAATGATCCCTGACCTTTGTTAGTGCCGATGGAAGGATCCCACTCTCCCACCAACAGTCCCTGAACCCACTTCGCCAGGTGCGGGATCCACCACCGACGAGCCCTGATCCCTGGGCTGGCTTGCGGCACCCGCGGAGGAGGGATCCCGCCCCCTTCTCTCCCCGTCCTGTAAGAATTTCAACACTAGCGCGTCCTTCGCTCCCGGCCGGGCTGGCGCGGGCTCCTCCCCCCAGTCCCTGCCACTTGAGGCAAGTTTTTGTTTTTATAGGAAAAAAAGAGAAAAGCCTGGAAAAAAAAAAGCCCCTCCCCCCCCCCCCCCCCCCCCGCGTCCTTTCTTTTATACCAAGGTTGGAGCCGGTTTTACCAGCGTCTTGCGGTTTTGTGCGTTTCCTCCTTTTTCGTTGTGTGCATGGAGCGTCCGGGCCGCGCGGTGCCCTGCTGGGCCGGGCCAGCAGGCGCTGGGGGGCACCGTTCGCGGGCAGCTTTGGGAATGTTGCCCTGAAGATGGATTAAAAGACTTGTCTGAGCCTGCTGCTGCTTTGTTTGGGAGTGGGGGGCTGTTGTCCCGGACTCCTGGCCCCCGGGAGGAACGCCCTCAGTGCGATCGCCCTTCTCGGGGGTCCACTCGCTTTCCAGGGCTAGGCCCCTGCCGTCCCTTGGGACCGCCCCTCTGAGCCTCCTGCCGCCTGGCTCTGCCGTGGGCCCCGCGGGACGTCCCCTTGTCCTGATCCCCCCCGATCCCCAGCCTGCAGCGTCTCAGGAGGGGTATTGAGTGTCCAGGCCCAGCCCAGCGGGGTTTCGGGGGTCTCCCCTCAGCCCATTGTCCAGTACCGGCTGTTCCCGAGCTGGGGGGCCCTCCCGGTCTCCCGTCACTGGGGCCCCGATCTCCAGGCCGCTGTCTGGGTCCCGGCTGCCAGGCGAGGTCACACCTGGTCCCCTGCAGCAACAACCCCCCCCCCAATGTCGTTACACAGGGAAACTGAGGCACACACAATACTCCCACAAAACACAAGAAAATCCCCTGCTTTGTCCCACCTGGCTCCCAGCCCCCCCGGCTCTAACCACGGGGATCCCCCCATCCCCTCTCAGAGCCAGGGGAGACCCCCCCCGGCGTGTGAAAGGTTACAAGGGTTCCCCTCCTGCCCAGTGTTCAGGGCTCAGTGGATGTGGGGTTCCAGGAGGAGCCATTGTGGGGGGGGGGGGCGCTCCCTCTCCCTGGGTTGCTTGGGGGGCTGCGCTGCTCCCTCCCCAAGCAGTTTTCCCTCATCTCCCCCCCCCCCGCCCCGGGATCTCCCTCGACCCCACGGAGCAGAGCCTTGTCCCCCAAGTGAGGAGCCTCCTCTGAGTCCCCCAATGGAGCAGCCTCCTGCTCCGAACCCCAGAGGCACCACGGGAGCAAACCAGCCCGGTGGCGCTCAACCTTCCCGGGCGATGGCCCCGTTCAGGAGCCTGCTGTGCCCGGCGTCCCCCCGACTTTCACCGCACGTAAAAACCGCCTGCTTCCACAATCAGACACAACCCCGGCCGCGCCACGGCCCCAGCCCTGACATATTCCTTCCTGGTGCCTCTTACTGTATCGCCCCCCTGCCCCGGCTGTAAACCCAGCCGGCTCTGTCTGGAACGGTGCTTGGTACCGACGCGGCTGGCGCTTCTGCCACCCGCGGGAAAACCAGCCCGGTCCCTAGCTGGGCTGCCGGAGCTCCCCGAGAACCGAGTTCTCTCACCCCGTAGCAGCACAAGCCGGGGCAATCTCCCCAGGTGGGGTGGGGGGAGAAATAGACCAGATCCAGCCCCACGGATACCCAGGGAGGGGGACTGAGGCACCCAGGAGCAGTGGGGTGGGGGGGGGAGAGAAATAGACCAGATCCAGCCCCACAGATACCCAGGGAGGGGGACTGAGGCACTCAGGGGCAGGGGGGAGAAGGGCCGCAGCGGCTAGGAGATGCTCTGCCCTATGGACCCCCCAGGGGCAGGGAGATAGTGGGGGCAGGGGGAGGGGATGGGAGGCAAAGGTGGATTTTTAAGATGTTTTATTTGGCTGAAGCTTCCAGCCCAGACAGGGCCTGAATTTCAAAAGCCAGAAAAGGCTTCGGGGCTATTTTCTCCCCCTTAGCAAAGCGGGAGGGGAGGAGACAAGTCGACTGGAGCGGATTTCTCGCTCCCACCCGGACGCAGCTCCCCGGTGTCGCTGGCCAGCGCGGGAGAGGGGCTTGGTCCCAAAGCCGTATCGACACAGCGCTGCAGGACAAACCGAAGCTCCGCTGCTCCGGTCGCCCGGCGGCCGTTCCCGTCAGCAGGATCCACCCGGGACACGAGACGAGGGAATCACCAGTCGGGTCGGGAACACGATGTTCAGCATCTTTGCTTCATTCTGACCCCGTGTGACGAAGTGGGAATGTTCTTAATGTTCTCTCTGAACACTGTGGGGGTGCCTCGGTTTCCCCTATGCAGTTCGTAAGTCTCTAGGTGATGGGATCAGGGGGTGTGACTGTTGCAGAGCTCTAGAGGGCAGGTGTGATGGTGTCTGCACAGAGAA